CCCGACAGCAACGAATCCGACACTCGTCGCCCTTCCATTTCAGCTAGTTCCTCGCGATGCCGGCGGCCTTCTTTGCAACGAATGTATCTAAATCGCAGCCCTGCCCCGCTTCCAATGATGTGACATGGGAAACGCTGGGACTGCTGGGCGGCACAGTCCCTTGATCAATCAGCTAGCTCTCTCCCACACAGGCTTTCACCTCAGCACTCCCCTGCTGGAATTTTCGAAAGCCTGCGGCTATCGGTCTGACGTAGTGGATGGCAAAGCATTGCTCCGATCGCTCTGGGTAAACCAGCTTGTTTGCCAGGATTTTGCATGCTTAGTGAGGGCTCCACGGGGTGGTGTGGATCGACTTGAGGAAGTGATCACAGGGGCCCAGCTGAGCCCTGTTGCGCCTCGCTTACGGCGCCAAGCTCGTGCCCTTCAGCATGGCGCTGCGACGATGCGCTTGCTTGAGCTAGGAAACTAAGCACCACTACTCTTTCGAACGAATGCTTCCTAGGGCTCATATCCGGCAGTGCGTTGATTCAGCGTCACTTGAAAGCAGTGAAAACACGTACTTTGTCTTCAGGGCGGCCCTACTCAAAGCAAAATGCAGCAAGCCCTATACGAGCGGCGGTCGTAAACCACTTAGCAAGTAGATAGGGTCCGCGTCTGTACTGCTGACCTCTTGGCACTTACTTCTCGAAGAAGAGACCGAGGTGAGCGACACGATGCCCCAGAAGACGGTGGCGTCAGCAAGACTGACAAGCTTCTAAACAAGGCGCGTGGTGCTTCCCCCGAAGCAATCCCAGTGTTGACTTCGAAGCGAGCTGGAAGTTTGACCCCCATCACACTTTCAAATCTTGGGCCCTCTCGGAGGCGCGTGCTTTTACACGTGTGCGATGCAGGAGCTAGAGCTGTTGAACGCCGGTGGGGGGGGGGCCTAATTGGAGAGACAGTTGTAGTGGGTGCTGAAGTAGGCCAGGGCCAGCCACTTGAAGCAACCTTGACAAAGTTGGCGGATATGTCCCTGGGCTTTGTCCACGTGGTCCGCGCAAAGATCAGCGCCTGTTGAGCAGCAGAAGAGTCTCACAATCAAGGAATCGGACACCAGCGCCTCCATCAAGCCCTGGCAGCACAAGATGGAGCAAGTGACAGCCCTTGACAAGCTTGCTCAGCTACATGCCCACTTCAACACTCCGTACGAGTTCTAGGACAGGACGCGTTTTTGGCAAAGCCCGTTCTCGGGCTGCTGCTGGAAAGCGTGCTGCGGATTGCTGGCACATGGGCCTCTAGAATCGCGCAACACCTAATTTGAAAGCATTCCAACACTGAGCCGCAAACTCGCGGACCTTTCCAGGTCCATTTGCAGCCATTTGCTTCTGTTTACCTACAATTGTGCCTACCTTCCATAAGGCTGTGACTGTATATCGCTTTCTTAGGTTCTCAGCCTTGGCAAAGCGCTTAAGACTCTTGGGGCGGCAAACGTGGAAAATGTATTACATACATTCCCCCCACTGGGCATACATTATGAAAGGGGTCCCCCGCATCACTGTGTGACTTGTGTGACCTGTGTCCCTTGTGTCCGTTGTGTGACTTGGGTCGCTTGTGTGACTGGTGTGACCTGTGCCACTTGTGTGACTTGTGTCAGTTGTGTGTGTGTGTGACTTGTGTACTTGTGTGACTTGTTTGATATGTTTTCGCCCATAAATATTGCCATGGGTCAAAAGCCCGTACCCCCAAGTGAACATCCCAATCCCCACTAAACTAGACTGAAATGGGTGGTGCACCTACCCGAAAATGGTACCAATGGTTTTGACCCACAGCCACATGTCTTCAAGGGTTCTTCTGTTGCATGGGGTTATATTGACTGGAATCTCCCATGCCGGGCTTTGAGATACAGCTTCAGTTGAGACTATCGGGGGTAGTCACAGCCACTTTCGGACAGCCAATTCGGGCAACCGATGGTAAGAGGGCTAAACGTTCGTTCGGCACACACGTCTGCTTTCCAACACATATTCCTAGCACATAGAATTCACCAGCTTGTATGTCCTGAATTTGGAGTTCACGAAATTGACACACGATTTTCGCACCTGCGGTTTTGGAACAGGCCCATGTTAATCAATGCCCCGGGCGGACCGAACCTGAAGGCCAAACGCTAGTTTCACAGGCGAAACTAAGCAGAGATGGAGCAAAGATCACGACCCGAAAATGGAACTACAAGGCCGGATGTCTCGCAACACTCACGAAACCCACGCAGCTTCCCGGAAAAAATTGGCCCATTTTTTGCGAACGGCTCGGGACCTGGCAGCACTCCTTGAGAGAGCAGCTGAAGCCAGAGCGCGAGCAGAGTCCCGAAAATGTCTCGCCCATCAAGAACCCCCCTAGGGGTTTTCCAAGGTTGTCCTTGGTCTGGGTATACCTGGGGTTGGGTTTCGTCCCGTAAAAATGTTATGAAGGGCTCGAACCTACGAAGCTGTTACCTGGTTAACCTCCGACATCCAAGTCACAGCCCCGCCTCCTCGCTCATGAAGAACTGCATCAGCCCATTGAAGCCACCAACACCTGAGTGAAACCCCTCAAACGACCGTGCAAAATAAAAGTGGTTCTGGTCATTTCCACTTATTGATGGCTCCCAGTACGCCGTCAGAAATGTGCACAGGGGACGCTGGAGGGATTCGAGCCCACAACCTTCCCGTGCTAAGCACAGGAAAACGCTGCCATTGCGCCACAGGCCCCCGGCACTCTCTTTTTTGTGGGCGCCGCTATTGTCATGGGCAACTGGCAGTTGTACAAGCACAAGGGAGACTGGGGGGAGAGCTTGCCAGTCATGCAGGCAAAGATAGGCCTGCGCTCTGTCGACCAACTGCAGAACAGACAGCCCCGCCCTTAAGCCGGGGGTTTCCCTTCACTTAGCACAGCAAACATCTTTGGAACTAAAACCCAAACAAGGGATCCCCGTCCCGTGTAAAGGAGCCACGTGATGGGAGCTCCCCCTCGCCTTTGAGAGGCCTGCAATCCACATAGTGATGACAGCCCGTAGACAAACAAAACAAGCTAGCCAAAGGTTGCTGGCGCAACTGGCCCAGTGAAAAGCGTCTCAGTGCCGACGTGGAGCCTCAACACTTTGGCCCGGTAACAAGTTGACTGGGAGTCCAACCTATATTCTATGTGACTATATATATATAATACACACATCACGGTTCTTGGCCCAATCCGTCACCGAACCGATGGGCTTCGAATCGCTGGGAGCCGGTCCCAGTTTGCCACCCATGTCCTGGAGCCAAACTTTCGTCAGTCGGGTCGAAAATGGCACTGCAGTCAAAACCTTGCTGGTGCGATAGGTACGGAATGAGTTAGAATTAGAATGAACTCAGGCTCTGGTCCCCTTAAAGAAAACCATATAGGGGATGTTTTTTTTGGGGGTCATTCTCTCTGAGCACCAAGAAGTTATTCCCCCGGACACCCCGGAGTCCCCAAACTTGCCTTTTTGTTGGCCCCAAAATCAATCGGGCCTCTGGGCACTCCAAAAACCCTCCTTTGGTTTCGCTTTGAAAGCGAGTCCAGGTGTTCAAGCATGATTTTGCCCTGAGATGCGGCCCTCAACTCTTTGGCTTGCAACAGCGGGTGGACTGTAGTGACCAGGCCAGCGCCCAATTAAGAGGAATCGATTTGGAATTGACAACATGCTTGTGAATGATACGCAGTGCCTTTTTATGCGCATGTTCGAGGAGCGCCAACCTTTTCGTTGGCTTACACACGTTGACCGGTTGAGGTTTGTTTTCTGAATGCTTGTGTAATATGCCCGTTGATCAGCCCAGGGTCATAAATGACACCAAGCAATGTTGGAGGCTACGGGCGGTTTCCCTTTTACCCAAGTCCCTGAACCACCAACCAAGGGTTACATGAAGGATCCTACTGTTCGGCGTTCTTTGCAAATTGACGTGCGTGCCCCTCGAGCAACAGGCAGCACCCGGTCGGAAGGGGGGCCTTCCACACACACAATCGACAGTCTTGGCTGACCAACCAACTGCCCTCGCGAATAGGCAGGAGGGTCCCTTACGGGGTACGTCGGTACGTCCCCCTTCCGTTCGAGGGCATGTGGTACTCAGTTACCCTGAAAATCACGGGTCACCTTTTGAAAGCTTTGGGATCAAGACTAGAAGATGTAGCCGTAGCTATTAAAAAGAAAAAGAAGAAAACACATGGGATTTTTAAGTTCAGATACAGTCCCAGGTACCGGGTCCATGGTGAGTCTCGAAAACCTCTTCCCGACAGGAATGAAACTTGACATCAGGGTGTTGCCAGACTACAGCTTTGTGGAAACGACGGCCTCCCGTCCACTTTCATGATTGTTGGAAAGTGGCTACATAGCTTCACGTGGGCACCCGGAAGAATCGTTTACTTACTTCCTGAATGGAATCGTCGAAACAAGTTCAACACTTGTTGGTTGCCACCAAACTGGCCGCAAAAATGAGTCCAGACACATGGGAAGCGTTTGTTTGGGGGGTTCCCATCAAAGCCATCAAATCAAACGTAGAAACTGTCACTTCTTGGTGGTTGTAAAAAGGACAATGGAAGTACACGCATAAGAGGACACACAAAAGGGGAAGGTAAACAATGTGAGTTCCGCATGTCCCGAAAGACCCCCTGTCGGTTGCTGCACTTCACCGTTGTTTTCTGGTTGTGGTTGGTTTACCTCATTTCACTTGACGCACCCCTAGCGTACGTCAAAAATCACATTAATCAGGCTCTTTGCCCTCCCACCAACTGACACGGAAGTGCACAAACTTCCCTTTCCAAGAGGAAACGTCGTCTTTCAGGGGTCTCTTCAATGGCCTCGGCCGGTTTTCGGGGGCTCCTTCATGGCAGCCAGCAGGTCATTCGCCCGCTGCTCCGAAGCGTCCAGCGACCTGAGTGAAGCGAGCCGGGAACGAAGCGAGCCACACCAAACCCCAGCAGACCAACTGAAACCCCAGCGAATCCTTGGGCAAATGGGAGCTGTTGTCAAATGGAGGTGCCTGGTTGCGAAATCCATTTCTCCTGCAACGCTTTGAAACCATGGATACAACCATAAGGTCTGTTGGCATTTACAGGGTAATCATCATTCCAGAGATCCTTATGTCCATCCACAGTATGAATGTGGTTGGTGAAGGGAAGCTTAAAGGACAACCACTCTTGTCAGGTTTGGTCATCTGACGTCATTTGGCTAGCAATTTATGACAACTTGAGTTTCACCAACAGGGTTGCTCCAAAGACAGTTTCACACTGGGTCAAAGTACCTCCCTAGAAGGAATTTGGGTCTTTGGAGATTTATTGTTCCCAACTGACATGGGGATTTGGTGAAAGATCCAACCAAAAGGACTCCAGGTCATGTGTCCCGAGCTCTTTTTCTTCGCAAACTCATTCGTGGAGTTCGCACCAGGTGTTAGAGGCCATGAAAAACAAAGATACCCATCACAAAATTGCTTCCTTTGAGGATCACAACATGGGTCATATCCAAAAACTTCAGTGGCCAAGGAAAAAAACACGCACACTCTTTTCTAGGCCCACATCTGTAGTACGCTGCATAACGAATCTGACTCTAGATTTAGTCGACCGCAAAATACTGAGCAGTTGCAGAAGACGAATACTTCTGTCGGCGCTGCTTCTCAACCCAGAAGCTCCTGGCTTCGGAAGACACCCCGCTTCGGTGTTTGGGGCTCAAACCCTGGCTGGTCCCAAATCGAAAGGGATGCATCCTCTCCGGTTTTTCAAGGGACTTCTTTTGAGGAAAGCCACGGCAAAAGCCGTTCTCGGCCTTAATTCAACATTTCAAGGGACTTTGTTCGAGGACACACCAACACCGGGAAAAAAAAAAAAAAAAAACGGAAAGAATCGAAAGGGATAAATCCTCTCCGGTTTTTCAAGGGACTTGCTTCGAGGAAAAAGCAAACCACCCGGGGGAAGAAACAAAAACACGGGTTTAGGGTCACCTCCTTCGTCGGCCGTTCGGCGCTGGGCGCGCTGGCGCCTCCAGGCTGCTGATCTTTGCCATGGCCTTCGAGTCGGGGAGGCAACCCTTCGATCCATTTTCCTTTTCTGGGCTGCCCGTTTTCGTATCCCCCGCGAAAAGTGGCCAACTTTTAGTGGGTGAAATGGACAAAACTGCCACTAAACACTAAAAGGCGCCAAGAAGCTAAGGACCCGGAGGGCTGGGAGCCACCAACTTTTGACATGTTGACAGCCTGCTGGTTACCTGCCATAGTTTGCGGGGAATGGGGACGGGCCCCCCCCGCAACAAGGTGGGTGGTGCCCAGCTCCATCAGCTCCTAACTGAGTGGTTCTAGTCGTGACTGGGCGTTCAGGGATTGGCAGTGACCAAGGAAGCCAAACATGAGCCTTGGATTCGTTGGATTCGGGAGCGCACTGGTACCAGGCGGTTCCCTTGTGAATGAGGAACTCCCAGGTTTCAGGGTGGTTCTCACGAGGAAACTTGTCGCACTTCGTCTCAATGCATGTCAGGCTCCTTCTGCCAAAGTCATCCAGTGGGAGTCCATGTTGGCAAGAGACTCCCAATACCTCCCAATCTTAAAGGGCCATGGCCCAAGTTCGGGGTGAGGTCTCAGAAAAAAAAGGAAAAAAACGAAGAAGAAAAAAACACTCTGATTACCAATAATCGCAAGACCTCCAAGAGAGACAAAAATAAACTTCGAAGCGTCCAACTCCCGACATCCGATCCGCTGGATCGAGAGCGAGATCGAGCCTCCTTCAACTTCTTCCCCTGCGCGAGTCGCAAGCCGATGGCGATCGGACGCACGGATGATCGGACGCACGGATGAAAGTGAGTCAAGCTTTCAAACGGCATTCGCAAAGGAAGCGCTTTCATGAACCGTTCTTTTGCTCGAGTCAGTCTCCTTTTGGACCACTCACAGAATTGCAGTAGTGATACATTCGTGCACGGCTCGTTTGGCGTGTTGCCAGGCTGAACTAAGTGCAAAGCGGCCCCAAACCCATAAAAACACTGAATAAACATGCAACTAGGATACCCTCCGGTCGACTAACGTGGAACCGTTCAAAGGAACCTTGTCTTCCAGCACCCCCCCCAGTGAGATTCCATGTTTGTGGATTCGCTTGAAGTCAAGTTGGATCTACACTTCAAGCGGGGCCAAACGTGTTTTCCTTCAAGCAGGGGAGCGAATCCCCTCAACAGTAATGTTGAGAAGCCCTGACTCACTTCCGATCGAGTGGATTGGCCAAAGAAAGTCCAAAGATTCTGAGTGAACCCCCAACGGATCAAGTCCAGGAACACAGGCACGAGAAAACGTTCGCTTTCAGGAAGACTGTTTGGGAGCCGCGTTTCCAGGAAATGTAATACCTCGCTCGGGTGGAACCCACGTGGGAAGGTCTTCCCAAATGACGTGTTTATTCAAGGGCTGTCGCAGAAGTAGTGGGAACAAACCTATTCCAGTGACCAAGAGTAGTGGGACCCCAGGATTAATCAACCACGTAGTGCGGCAGAGGAATTGGACCTTCCACGCTCAGCGGGAAAATTGTTCTTGCGTGTGTCCGCCATTGCCCACTCATGTCCCACTCATGTCCCACTCATGTCCCACGCATTTCAGTTCTGTTGAATTCCCGCCGATTTACGATGAACGAGCGCAAAAAACATGCCAAAAAACCCAACAAGTCGCCAAAATGGAAGACCTTTTGTCTCCATTGGCCAAAACCAATTCCCAGGGTAGACTATTCCATCATGCAGGAAATTATTGGCATGAAGCAACGCGCCACTAGGCAACGCTGTATGCGAGAGCGCAACGGCTAAGTCAACCAGCCGTGCGCCACGGTGGAACATCGAACCATATTTGCCACCGCTCCGAGCAAAATGATTCCTCACTTTCTGAGTGGATCTGCCAAAAAAAGTCCGAACTTTTTATGTACCACTAAAATGGTCTTCCCGAAAAGTTTAAAGTTCAGGAACTCAGGAAGTGAGATTCACATGGAGCATGTTCTGCATCCTGTTCTGCTCATGTGCCACCCGCCCAGTGCAGCGGAAACCAGCTGACCAAACAGTCAAAACCTGGCTGAGGGTCCTCCAGTAGAGAGGTTAGAATAAGGGTACCAACTTTTTCTTTGGTCTATTTTAGTAGGGGAAAATTGTCCCCCCCCCAAAAAAAAGTAAAAAACGGGCACGATCCTGGGGAACCGAGTGGTAAACGGGTTTCCGAGTTTTGGGAACCGTCCAGAGTTGCCGCAGCTGCCCCAATGGACCTCGGAGAACAGACTTGACCCTCTTCCAGAGGTATAGTCAGATTCTGCTCAGATTCTAGTTGATCTAAACAGAATATACAAGATAAAAAGCTGGCATTTGGAGACCCTAGAAAAGGTCAGCTCCTTGGAGCTGTCTAAATCGAACAAGTCTACTGGACCTGAGCTCATCCAACCCACGGGGTGCCCGTCCTGGGCCGCGGCTTGCGTCACCAGCGCAAAGTCCGAGAGCTGGACAGAGTCCGATGGGCCGAGTCGATCGATGTCCGGCTACGAGTCACCCCAAAAATGGTCCAAACACCAACACCACTGCCCTTTGAACAGCACCAAGAGGATTTTTGGACATTGGTTCAAAAGCAGCTGTTGAGTGGAACGGACCGAAACCCCTGCGTTTGCTGCCTTTGACTCACCTGCCAAAAATGAAGCTGAAAGAAGTGGTCCAAGCGGGTGTCCAAGCAAAAAGTTACATCTCAAAACCGGGAATATCAAAAAGAAACCGGAAGAACGATCTTCCCTCCCTACCCCCAACTCTGGATGCAAAAAGAGAAAACATATCAACCCATGCTTCATACTTTTTCTCCAAATAGCAAATCAAAGATGGGAGGAGGCCTCGAGAAACCTGGGCGAAAGCATGATCGAACTACGGAAAACTACAAATAAGGAACCTCGAAGCCAGGAAACTAGGAACCGCCACAATTAACTCACTTGCCCAAAGGACCCAGAAATAAAAGGTTGACCTTTTGGGGCAATGACTAAAACTAGACCAAAAAGGAGACACCAAAAGGTCAAAAGGTCGGCTTTGGGCAACTGACTTCATGAAAGACAAACCCTCACAAAGAAACCTGAAGGAAACTGAAAAGCCGCGAGAAGCCACGCGAGACTTCAAGAAAAAGCAATAAACAACCAAAGAAACCCAAGAGATGCTACCTGGATCTTGGTTTGGCGTGTTTGTTGTTGGTCCCACACCCAAACGGATGTTTTTTGGCAAAACGGCAATCCTTGAGGAAACGCACGCTTTGCAAACAGGTGCCGTTTTGGGACGTGCATCAATACACTGTGTGAATGCGCGAGATTTCTGCCAAACTGTTAGGCTGCACAACGAGCGCAACTCCCCGCAACAGGAGCAATTTCGCGCAACCGGCGCACTTTCAAGAAGCGTACAATAAGAGACCTCAAAGAAGCCAAGAAGCCAAACACGACAAAATAAACGCATATCTCCCTGAATCCGAAAGAACAGGGAAACACGTGGAACTATCAAAACCCAAGGAGCCAAACAAAAAAAATGACGCAAAACTGAAAGACATACATTTCCAAACCCGGAAACCACAAACCCAAAGAACTCCAAACAACCCTGTGGAATGCCCATGCAAATCCGAAGGACGTCAAACAACAAACCCAACAATGCAGCGAAACAACCACAGCAAGCCTCGAACCAAACAACTAGCGAAAACAAGACGGAACAAGCAACAAAAAGAAGAGAGGCCCCGGCCAACATGTGAACCTCTACCCACAATCTTGGGCACAATGAAAGTTGTGTTCTTCGCATTATGTTTAAAACTTTAAACCCTAAGCATCATTGGACCTTCCATTGGACGGGATTGGACCTTAAACAGGGTCTGTTTGAGGTCCCAAGATTCAGGGCAACCAAAGCAAGCACCCTGTATAGCAGGTCAAGGGGTTCCCACCCTTTGACAACCACAGGCAAAATGGATGGAAGCACTACCCACTATAGTAACTGACATCCACTGGGTAGACCAGCTTCCCTACGAGTTTGATTTCTAAGAGGCGGCTTCCCACTTGCCCACGGCGTTGAAACCCCGAAACCAAACCAATCCACAGACCACTCGCCGCTGATCCCCAGACCCAATGGATCCTAGCTCGCCCATGGATCTGGGAGCGAAACATTTGCCCGGGTGAGAGGTTCAAGAGTCCGGAACCCCGAACCCCCTGGAACCAAAGAATCTCCTTTCGAGCCCTTTGACTCAAAGCCCCAAACCACCAAACCACCCCTTAGATCGCCTAGCTGGCATCAAGCAAGCGCATCAAGCGCATCAAGCGCATCAAGTGCATAAAGAGCCTTCAGGGCACTGTGGCCAGCGCAACCAGACCACTTCGCAGTCCTGATCCTGCTGAGCCGCATGACCAACCTCCGGCGCGATCACCAAGCTTCGCCTGCCCTCCACCGCAGGCTCAGGCTCGCCAGCCAGCGATCGATTCCCTAAAAAGGACAGGGGAATATTCAACGTGCTCTCAACAGCACATGGCAGGAGTTTGGTTACCCCATTCAGTTGCTGTTGTTTCCTCAGAGGCTGATGGATTTTGAGGCCAGCCAGGTTTTGAGACCCCAAATAGAGGGGTCTGGGTCTTCCGTTGAAAGCCGAAGCCAGGAGCCTCTGGGTAACCAAAGGTTTCCCATCCTCTAAAAACCAGAAGGACAAGGGATCAAAGTTCGAAGGGTTACCTTGTTCGCACGGCTTGACTCGGATCCACTGGAAGAAGCAAGCCCCTTGGTGGGAGCCTATTTGAATAAAATTGCCAACTTGTTTGCCTGTAATCTATTTTAGTAGGGGGGCGCCCTCCCAATCAAAAGTGAAACGGTTCAAGGGCACCTCGCTGGGGGACCTAGGCAGACGCCTGACGAAACCCCTCTGCCTCAGGGTTGGACTCCGAGAGCATGAGCTGCAGCTCGGCCCGCACCAGGCGCCTGGCGGACGGCTTCGCAAGGTCCAAATCGCCCTGTCAAAAGCGCAGTGGTTGGGGTGGTTGGGGGTTGGGGGGAGTGGTTGGGGGGGTGGTTGGGGGGTGGTTGGGGGGGTGGTTGGGGGTGGTTGGGGGGGTGGTTGGGGGTGGTTGGGGGTGGTTTGGGGGGGTGGTTGGGGGGGTGGTTGGGGGGGGAGTGGTTGGGAGGTGGTTGGGGGGTGGTTGGGGGGGTGGTTGGGAGGGGAGTGGTTGGGGGGGTGGATTTGGGGGGGTGGTTGGGGTGGTTGAAGGGGTGAGTTTGGGGGTGGTTGGGGGAGTGGTTGGGGGGGTGGGGGTTGGGGTGGTTGGGGTTGGGGTGGTTGAGGGGGGTGGTTGGGGGTGGTTGGGGGGGAGTGGTTGGGGGGGTGGTTGGGGAAATTGGTTAGGGGGAGTGGTTGAAGTGGTTGGGGTGGTTAGGGGGTGGTTGGGGGGGTGGTTGGGGGGGGGTGGTTGAGGTGGTTGGGGGGGCTGGTTAGGGGGTGGTTGGGGTGGTTGAGGGGTGGTTGGGGGTGGTTGGGGGGGTGGTTGAGGGTGGTTGGGGGGTGGTTGGGGGGGTGGTTGGGGGTGGTTGGGGGGTGGTTGGAGGTGGTTGAGGGGAGGTGGTTAGGAGGTGGTTAGGAGGTGCTTAGGAGGGTTGGGGGGTGGTTAGGGGTGGTTAGGGAAATTGGTTGGGGAGGTGGTTAGAGGTGGTTGGGGGGTGGGTGGTTGGGGTGGAGTGGTTGGGGGGTGGGTGGTTGGGGGGTGGGTGGTTGGGGGGTGGAGTGGTCACGTAGTTTGGTTGGGGGCCAGGTGGTTGGGGGTGGGTGGTTGGGGGTGGGTGGTTGGGGGGTGGGTGGTTGGGGGTGGGTGGTTGGGGGTGGGTGGTTGGGGGGGTGGGTGGTTGGGGTAGGTGGATTGAGGTGGTTGGGGGGGTGGTTGAGAGGTGGTTGGAGGTGGTTGGGGGTGGTTGGGGGGTGGTTGGTGGTTTGGGGGTGGTTGGGGGTGGTTGGAGGTGGTTAAGTGTTGGAGGTGGTTGGGGGGGGTGGTTCGGGGGGGTGGTTCGGGGGGGTGGTTGGGGGGGGTGGTTGGGGGGGGGTGCTTGGGGGGGGGTGCTTGGGGGGGGTGCGGTTGGGGGGTGCGGTTGGGGGGTGCGGTTGGGGGGTGCGGTTGGGGGGGTGCGGTTGGGGGGGTGCGGTTGGGGGGGTGCGGTTGGGGAGTGCGGTTAGGGGGTGCGGTTAGAGTGCAGTTAGGGGAGTGCGGTTAGAAGAGTGCAGTTAGAGAAGCGGTTGAGCGGTTAGAAGCGGTTAGAGGCGGTTGGGGAGGGGAATGATGTTTGCTTTTTTGCTTTGGGGTTTGGGCCTGCAAAATAGACTCTTTGAGTCAATGTCAACGGCCCCGCACCGCCAAATGCGAGGCGAGGCGAGGCGGCCAGGATGGACGGCCCGTTGCTTTGCCTTGTATTTTTGTTCGCAACCGTGTCACTGGCTTCCAGGGTAGGGGGGGGGGTGCGGTTGGGGAGGGGGGTGCGGTTGGGGAGGGGAATGATGTTTGCTTTTTTGCTTTGGGGTTTGGGCCTGCAAAATAGACTCTTTGAGTCAATGTCAACGGCCCCGCACCGCCAAATGCGAGGCGAGGCGAGGCGGCCAGGATGGACGGCCCGTTGCTTTGCCTTGTATTTTTGTTCGCAACCGTGTCACTGGCTTCCAGGGTAGGGGGGGGGGTGCGGTTGGGGAGGGGGGTGCGGTTGGGGAGGGGAATGATGTTTGCTTTTTTGCTTTGGGGTTTGGGCCTGCAAAATAGACTCTTTGAGTCAATGTCAACGGCCCCGCACCGCCAAATGCGAGGCGAGGCGAGGCGGCCAGGATGGACGGCCCGTTGCTTTGCCTTGTATTTTTGTTCGCAACCGTGTCACTGGCTTCCAGGGTATATAAGTCTGGAAAATCCACAACATTTAGGATCCAGGATGGACATTATATTCGGATCCCTTCAGAGTGGTTGCGGAAGTTGCCTAATGTTTAACCCGTCACATGAAACCTCACGAAAGGGGGTTGGTTGAGTTCGCATCTTCCGCCAAGGTTCCGTGTTAGTGCAGAGGATAACTGATGTGTTCTTCGACGCTCGGACCGAATGGGTGGATCTTGCTTGCTCTCAAAAAGGCCGACATATTTTGAGGACCTGAAGGCCACTTGTCATTGTCGGGTCCCGGGTCCCGAATATCCAGGATCCCCTTTGGGCAGTTGCCATAGCAGGTGTCCAGTTTTCCCTCGAGGCCTCTCCCGGATTGGAGACCGAAACGAGGTGGGACTTCCATTGAGCAAGGCCCCCCCGGTTTTCGGCTCCCGCTCGATTTAGGGCCTTCAAACAACCTGGTTTTGAGACCCCCAACCACCTCCGGGGTGTCTAATGGAGGGGTCGGGACTTCCATTGAAAGCCCCAGGAGCCTATGGGTACCTCTGGCATCCAAAGCCTGGTCGTTCTGTCTACCATTCCCAACCGGTTCGATGAGCTCGTCCTAACTTGCCAATCCCTGAGAATCACCTCTCAGTGGATTGACCCAAAATTCCTCCAAGCTGTTGGCTTGCTGGTTCTCAGCAGGGAATGAGGGAATGACACCTACAAGCCATCCGCTCTGGTTTCCTTTAAGGGAGTCCTGAAGGATTCATTTACAACACCCTGAGGCATTCCCTACCTATCGCACCAGAAAGCTTTGTGGGTCTTGCCAATTTTACGTGTAACAAGGTTGCCTGGTTTTCCCCTTTCAACTCCCCATCGAAAAGAAACTCAGGTTACATGGATGCAAAGCGTGACTCACTTCCTGGTTGGCCAGAAAATGTTGAACTTTTTGTTTGCCACTTAAGTGTCCAAGCCAAAAAGTCACTAAAGTCCAAAAACAATATGAGGCAAAAGGTGAGGAAATTAAACCCATCAAGGCCCAGCCACAGGTCTGACCCTTTTCCGGGTTCCCCTTTTGTTGTGAATGCACATTTGGACACCAACAGGGGTTTAGGGTACACCGGGTACACCGGAAAAGAAGGGTCACCCTTCTGGAGGCTTGGCCGTCCAAGCCAAAAGTCATCGACCCGTTTACAGGCCCCGAGCCAAGCATTTGAAATGCTCCGAGCGGCGCATCGAGCTCCTTGAGCTTCTTCATCTCTTCGGCGCCCTACCAAAAAAAAAAACAGGTCGAAGAAGGCCTCAATGGGTATAACTACATCCGGAAGACTGTGCTAGGGCTGGTCCCCTTGGTGGTCCCCTGTTGTGTTTGTTCGTTTTGATGTGATTTTATGTTTGCTTATTTTGATGTTTGGGTGTTGTTGCTTTTTTGGGGGGGCTCTTTGACTAGTTAGGGTCCTCCGGGTTCATCCGGAGCTATCAACAGCGCAAGGTTGAGGGGAATCTTAATACCGGCACCTTCTTGGAACAAACCAGAGGCGTGGGACCCGCGCCCCGAAAACTTGACTCGCGCGGATACCCGGACGCGTTCCCGCCTTCGTCTTCGCCTGCGAGGGGAAGTTCGCAGAAAACCCATGGTACCAAGCACAGTGATCCAGCTGGCGACTATGGTGTCCAAAGGATTCCCACCCGTAAAAAACCAAAAGGACAATGGATCCAAGGGTTACCTATTAGAGTGGCTTGACTGGGATGCAGACGTTCTTGGTGGGTAGACGGGGCCTAAATGCTTCTCCTTATGGGAAGTGGGGCCGTTACATTACGCAAAAGATGATCCCATGTTGCATAGTACTCAATCGACCCTTTCTGTGGGAAATTAAATAGTCCGTTTGCTTAAGCAACATAATTCCAGTCATTAGTGACAGGCTTCCTTTGAAGCAAACGGGAAAACATAAGAAGCTGTTGATTCACGCTTGGCCCCCGAATCGAATCCCATTCCACACAGCCCTGCAGCGCGCACGCGAACCCTGCTGCGACAATTTTCGGGCCTTGGATTGGTGCTTCTGAGGTTAGGGGGTGGTCTCCGATTTAACCTTTAGTTGCAAGAACCAGGGGTTCACATCCAAATCTAAACCACCAAGTGGGGCGTTTTCCAGCCTGCAACAGCAAGCGCAGCCGCTTGCCTTTAGCAAAAACGACAGCGCCTGCGCGATGAGGTCCCTCACATCCAGGTCAGACTTCGTCGTGTTGGTCTGGCGTTGAAGTCAACGTATCACACATCGCCCGACACGCGCAGCTGTCAAGCAAGTCAAACAATAATTTGGGCGGACGGAACTGTGTTATTTCACACAAACTGATCACTTCCTGACAGCCTGGACTGACCAAAGAGTCCAAACTGGTTGTTTGCTTCCAACAACGGGTCCACACCCAAAAACTTCAAGTCCACTCAGGGAGTGGGACTGTAAGAGCTCGAGAGGCGGCGCCATCTCCAATCAGAAGAGACTCCCAGTCCTTAGTGCGCCGCCTTCGCCGGCCAGCCGAGAGCTGAAGCTTCCGGCGCTACGCAAGAAGGTCTGCGTACATGGTGTTTGAACGAATGGTGGACCCACAACCATGAGGATTCCTAGACCCTCCCACCCACAAAATGGGGATATTGCCCTGGAGTGGGCTCACTTCCTTCGTGAACTTTTCGAAAAAAAAAAAGGTACCCAAACTTGTTGTTTACCACGGTCCACACCCAAAAAGTGACTACTAAAAAGTCCCAGACGGAACTCAGGAGCTGAGCCTCCCCTCCCAGAACATTAGGATTTTGTGGATCAGAAGCTCCAAACCAACCCACCTCGCTTCAGTGGGGTGAACTCCCTGCGCGCCTCCAGGCCCATGGACTTCGCCAGCGCCAGAAGCTCCTGACTTCGCATGGCGACTTTCCGCCCTGGTGGGATCTTGAAGTGGCTGTGGCTCAGAAAACCGGAATTCCAAAATGGAGCCCTGGTAAGTGGAAACATGGACCAAAACCTGCGTAAACCCTCCTGTTTAATTTTGAGCCACACCCAAGTCTTGGGGCCTGAAAAACCGCCAGGGTCCTGAGACTCCGACTTTTGCCATGCCTCGTTTCAAAAGCGTAGACCCAGAGCGCGTCCAGAGGCTCTCGGCTTCGGCTGGTGGAAGGCGACCCCGAAGCATTGGACACGCGGGCGCCGGGTTTCGTTTGGGGTCGCAACACCTGGACGCAAAATCCGTCGGGATCCTCGTAGGGAAACTTCTGGTGGGTTCCATCTTTTATTGAGTGGATCAGTGGGCCAAAGCCGAATGTGCAATGAATTGATTGTAGTCCCAAGTCTTGTGTTTCCCAGCTACGACTGTAGTAGGCAACAAAGGGAACCGCCCTTTGAAAACAAAAAGGAACATGGCTGGTTAGCTATCGTAGTGGTAACTGGGATCCAGTGGTATTGTCAGAGTTGTCATGAGAAACAAAAACGGATTGTTCAAGGGGTTTGGATCAAACAAAGGGAGAACTTCCCCTTAGGAGTCCTTCAGAAAACAAGTCGAAACCAAGGGAAACCGTGGGCGTTTGGATATCAAGACATGTGCTTCAATAAGAATCTGCCACTTCTGAGCCTCCCCCAAAACGGGACATTGAGGGATGTCCGCCGACATTGCTCGGCGTGTCGGATACTTACTAGAGGATAGAGGATAACCCCCCCCCTAACCCCCCCCCGCCCGACGTCTATTACGTAGGTTTTTGGGGGGGGGGGGTCCGTGCCATGGACGCTTGGCGTCCATTTTGCGGGCAGTCTTCTCTGCCGTGGGTTTGCGGGCTCGATCGGTGAGCTCTCTGCTTACTTTGGCCGGCTAGACCTCTAAAAACTCGGTGTTTTTCATGCTTTCCACTTCGCTTGCGCAACCCTCTGCGCACTTTGGGCGGGTATAGACCTGTCAAAACTCGGTGTTTTTCATGCTTTCCACTTCGCTCGCGCAACCCTTTGCGCACTTTGGGCGGGTAGACGTTTCAAAGCTCGGCGCTTGGAATGCCAGAGTATCTGGAGGGTGGGCGCGGGAATTATTGGTTTGCCCCACTTGCCCCAATTGCCCCACTTGCCCTACTTGCCCCGCCGCCCCACTTGCCCCACATGCCGCATTTGCTTCACTTGTCCCAAATGCCCCGCTCACCCCGCTTGCTCCAAGTCGAAGGAGGCGAGCGATAGCCGGGCGAACGGGGCGTGCAACGGGGGCCGAGTAGGTTGAGTGGGTCGAGTAGGTCGAGTGGGTCGAGTAGGTCGAGAAAGCGGGTGGTTTGGATCGAGTGGGCCGAGTGGGGCGAACTGGCTGAGTGGGTCGAGTGGGGCGAGCGGATCATGTAAGGCGAATAGAGTAAGGGGCAAGGGGGTTAGCGAAGCGATTGAAGCAAGTGGAGCGTGTGGAATGTGTGGAGCAAGTGATGCGAGTGGTGCGTAAAATGGGGCGCGTGGGGCGAGTAGGTGAACTTTGCAAGCCTAAGCCCATTATGATACTGATATTTTATTAGAACGATTTTCTACTGATCCAGACCTTGGTAGCTTAAATGCGACATCATTCCGATAATATTTTGCCTCAGTCGAAGGTCGCAGGTCACACTCTTGAAGCAATGGGACTTTACTGCATGTCTTTTACGTGGGAGGGAAGGGCTCCGCACTCGTAGTTTTGCTCATATTTGATCACAGTTGTGCTCATAGTTTATCAACTTTGCTCGGGTCTGCTCAATCCCCTTAGGACAAAGCCCCGGGACCCATGCAACATGAGCCAAAGTAGCGAAACTCATGAGCAAAATTCCAGGCAAATTCGTCTTACACACCAGTTGTTTGCTTCACTTGCGTATAACCCTATACTCCAGCACCGATGTATCCGCAGGTCGTGACTTGGTGGGTGTTATGCCGGCAGGAGTGATTAAGACTAGTTGAGGCTTAACCTGCAAACATGAGTTTGGGCTAGGGCTGCAGAATACATAGAATATGCTTAATATATTGTTTGTTCAGTTTGCCAAAGTAACACATAGAATTGGCCATGAGTGTGCTACAAGTTTCAAGTGTTAAGTATCAACTATTCAGTACATACATACACTTTCTACATATATATATATATATATGTATGCATATATATACAAATCTTATATATATATATATATACATCATATGTTGTTAATACACATCCCCTCTTGTACATGCCCTTGCACATCTGTATGATCAAGGCCTTGAGCCTACATACAGTAGAGCTACAGCTTGCCTCCTGGAAACAACAGTGCCGCGCTGTCACACACAGGTCTTCAGGTATTTACAACATCAATCCAACTTTAACATGGTAGCGGAGCAGTGATCCCTGGTACACGATCCTACCACACTACCCAGGGTGAGCTCCAACACGCACTCACAGGTTGAGGTACACAGTAGTGAGTAACATGGCACAACAACAAGATCAGCAACCACAACAGCAGCAGCTAGAAGGAATCCACAAGTACAAGATATCACCACCACGCTTCAGTGGAGAATACAACACCTTCGAAGAATGGAAGTACAAGATGACAGCATACCTGGGACTACAAGACCCAGACTACAACAGACTGCTTAGACAGTCAGAGCTATCAACAGGAGCAGTCACAAATGACCAACTTGAGAATGCAGCACCTTCACAACAAGTTGCAGAGCAATGGATACAACTGAGCAACAACTTGCACTACATCCTAGTGAGCACATGCGATGGACCAGCATCTACAATCTGCAGACAAAACATGCAAGGGAACGGATTCGAAACGTGGCGGCTTATACATGCAAGGTACTCCATACTTCTTGGTACAAGGAGCGTTGGATACCTTACAAAGCTGCTCAAACCACAACTTGATGAACAGAAGTTCGAAGAGAGCTTTACAACATGGGAGTTCCAACTCTCAAGATACGAACAAGACAACAACACACTACTACCAGATGCAATCAAAATCGCAGTGCTACTCAATGAAACAAAAGGACCACTACAGCAGCATTTGCAGCTACAAGCAGGAAACATCGCAACATACGCACAGATCAGATCGATGGTGATCGAGTACTACAGAGCAACAGCGTCATTCACCAGACTACAGTCAATCACATCAGGCAGCAACAGCAATCAAGGACCGGCACCAATGGACATAGGAGCAACATGGTACAACAAAGGAAAAGGAAAGAAGGGCAAGCACAAAGGCAAAGGAAAACACAACAAAGGCAAAGGCTACGGCGGCTACGGCAACAACTTCGGATACAACAACTACAAAGGAGGAAAAGGTAAGTACAATCAACAACCGGTTGGACAAGGAAATCCTTTGAAAGGACAACAAGGATACTCCAAAGGAAAAGGATACAACAACAAAGGAAAAGGAAAAGGATACTACAACAACCAACAAGGAGGAAAAGGATCAAAAGGAAAGCAAGCAACAAATGTTTCCTACAGATGTGGACAACCAGGACACATGGCCAAACAATGCAGAGTGGCGATCTACAACTGCGATACTGGCAACTTCGACACCAATGACCAGACAGATGACTGGTACAGTCAGTCACACTATGACAACATTTGGTACCACCAGGATCAGACACACATGCAACAACTAGCATTTCCACAGCCACCACAAATGGCGGATCCATTAGCAGTACCCATCTCAGGATGACAAGAAGTAACAATTGCCATGATTGGCACAGCACAACAACCCTCAGAAGACAACAAGTGGGTCAGTCTTATGATTGACAGCGGTGCGGCTACACATGTATGCCCACCATGGTTTGCACCACACTTTCCACTACACCAGCTTGCACATGGAACAGGACCACAACTCAGAACAGTGACCAACCAGCACATCGAGCTTTAGGGGTACAGATGGGTCTGCGCGACAAATCACAGCGGACAACAAATTGTCATACCATTTTACGTTTGTGAGGTTAAACAGCCGATTCTTTCAGTTACAAGGCTGGTGGAACAAGGTTTCCAACTTACATTGGATGACAATCCAAAGCTACATCACATCAAAGGATTCAACAGCACACTGGAGAGCAGAAACGGCCTGTTCTTCCTACAAGCAGAAATCACAGCATTGCCAAAAGGAACAAAGCTACAGATACACAACACGGACCAAGGACAGATCGGCATGATAGCACCGACCACAACACTGACACCACAAGGTCCTGCAGACACAGGATATGCAGGAGATTACTGGCAGTTCAATACACAAGGTGAACTTGTCAGAGTACACAGGCAACACAGAAAGACACTCTTCACACCTTCGAGAACACAGTGTCCAGTCCCAGCAGAACAACTTGAGGACTACAGGAAAACAACCATCAGACTCAAGGATGGTACAGCGAACACGTTTGAAGACAAGTATCAAACAATGGAAGCGCCAAACAAAGCACAACCACAAATGTGGAAAGGAGAGACAACATTCAGGATCAAGAAAGGCACAACATTGCCAGAGGCAATACAGCAACAGCTTGCAACAAAGACACAGCCAAAAAGTGCACCACAGAGGGTGACACCGCAAGTGATTCAGTACAAACCGCGCACACGGCTTAGAGAGAAAACAACACCACCAACAGTTCAGGACACACCTGCGCCACACACCACCAAAGGCGCAGCTGGACAAGGACTTCCACATCCTTCAGAGGTACACCCTGGAGGAGACTACTGGTACAGAGAAGGCCCATACTGGAAGAGAGTACATGTTGAGCCTAGAACAGCGTTTTACATACCAGAGCAGACACACGACGGGCCAGACATCAAACGACTCTTACCTTGGAGACAGACCAAGGTACAACCAGTTGGAGGAGAAAGACAACACACAAGATTGATAGAAGATGAATGGACAACACAGCCAGCAAAGACATCTGACAAGCCTTGGACAGGCTGGACA